ACTATATTTGAGTCTTTGGGGTACTTAGGATTATATTCCGCGCCGAAGATTTGTGCTTGTGGGCTAAGGTGAATATAGCGGACCAGCGGATCTGGTAGTTGACAATCGTTCGGACTTGGTAAAGGTTGTCGCAGCACATGTAGTAGGACAGAGGACTTATCGCGATGCCCGCGGACCAATTTACTATGTCTCTGTCGCTGACGTTGGTCAAAGAGGCCACGTGGATTGGCCTGGGTCTTCTTCGGCTAATGAGACCTCGATCCCGAAGCCTTCGGAGTATCTTTTTGATAGGCGCCTCTATCTGTATGGGGAATTCACTGCTGAAAGATCCCGCCCAGTGTCCCCTTCCTTCCCCCGCCGCCTTCCGACCAAAGTGAGTATACAATTTCTTCTTCAAGACACTCATGCCCGATCGTGAGACTGCCTGTTGAACGCCTGATGGCACCTTGCTCTGACCCGAGCTATGCAACAACGAGATCCCCCTCGATCTTTGCAGGATGTGCTTGACGGTCCCCCATAATACGCTAACTTGGGGACTTTTTAGTCCATCTTTTCCAAGAGTCTCCGCTAGTTGAACCGCGTCCAGTAGACGACCTCTTCCGCTCATCCCCTTTGTCAGCTCTTTGATAGGGATACTATAACCTAGGTCCCTGAACTTGGAATGGATGGCGGAGCGTAGGTGGCAGGCGGTTATATGGATACGGTGCTTTACCCGTAGACGCTTCTCCAGCTCTCGCAAGAATTGTATGGGAGTCGTCCTCAGGGAGGCTTCCCGAATGACCGTACCGGGGAATTCTACCGTACTCCGTGCAGCTATGGTTGTTGATCCTGCGGAGCCTACCCAAAGGTTCAGACCGGATTGTAGGAAGTGGGTGATACGTTTTTGTATTTCTATGAGAATAAATACGGCACTCACGATTCCCAGTAGTAAGTCATCGGCATATCGCGCATAACAAATCCTTATTAAAAGGAATGGCTTTTAAAGGGGGCCAGCTTATGGGCCAGGCCTCTCTCTGACCTGATAACTAGTATCGCCTCCCTGCCCAGCTCTATCAGCAGGCCCCTTCTTTTGCAATACTTAAGAAGGTCTCTCATGGCCAAATTCTTATTAAAGCCTTCTCTACCATTGAATTCGGCCTTCGGGGTCAACCCAGCGGCTTCTATGAGGAAGGCGGCGCAAAGGAGGCTCGAGGGCTTCTTAAGGAAGGCGGCTAGGGCCGCTGAAGGGGGGAAATGAAAGGCGTTTTCTAGTCTCCCCTTCGCTTGGGGGTGCTTGTGGGGGGGTGTGCCACGACGAAACAAGGGAATGAAAGGTCGCTTTCCGTTGGATGCTCTTTACCCTCCCCACTATGAGGGCTCTGTTGTCTTGGGGAGCGTTGAAGCTTGCTTCTTTTCCATACTTCTCTTGGTCATCAATACGACGACCTATTCTTAATAGAACCGATCTTATTTTCACTACAAGAGGAATTTCGTGCTTTTGCCGGATCCTCCCTATCTCCTGATCGAGCTTGTGTAGGTAGATATTGCCTGGTAGGGCCGATAGTAGTACACTGTTTGGGATGGAGTCAGGGTCCTTCTCACCCCCTACGAGTCGTCCAGCGGAAAACTTTTTCTGAGTGGGGTAAAAGAACTTGGAATCGTCGATCTCTTCCTTCAAGATTGAGATGAATCGATGTCGGTCGATGGTGTGAAAACACTTCCTGATGTCGAATTCCAAAAACCAGCGAGAGGTTCCCCACTCTTCTTTGATCCGTCTAAGGGCCGAGTGGCAGCCTCGACCCGAGCGGAAGTGCGATGTGTCTGGAAACTCGGGATCGTAAATGGATTCGGGTACCATTCTGATCGCCTCTCTCATGATCTTTTCTATGGGTAGAACTACTGTGAGCGGTCTAAACTTCGACCCTTCTTTCTTTCTTCATTTAAAAAAGGGGGAGCAAAGCGTGTTTTTTGCTCCCTCAATTGATAGATCAGGGCCCCTCCTGCCGGCCCGAACGAAAGGCTCTTTAAGGAAGTAGTCCCATCACTCTCGGGCCCGGCACCAACCAAGAGGAGGCGGGGCTCTCTCCAATCATTCCGAAGAGCCGAAATCTCGTAAAGGAAAAAATTAGCTAGCTCAGCAGGTTTGGACCCGGGTGAATCAGTTCAGTGAAGGAAGGGAGCCTAAACTTAAGGCTTTTCCAAGCCTTGCCGATAGGCGCCTCATGGCTCGCTCAGTTCGCTCGCAGAGTTCTCGGGGCTTTTCCAAGCTTTTCCAAGCTTTTCGACACGGAGCTCGCTGATGTCTTTTTAGCTTCAAAACTACAGGGTGTGCGTTAGCACTACGGCTTTTCAGCCTCCCTTTGCTGGTTCCAAACTATCACTGATCCCAGAGATCAACCTTCAAACCTTTTTCTTTGAATCTCAGGAAGGCTTTCTCGGGGAGAAAGCTGGTTGGGGAATTGCTAAACGACCTAAAAGAAAAAGAGGAGACTGACTCTGACCTTTCAAAGCCCTATCTCATCTGGTTGATAGTAGAAGGTACGTACGATGATACCATGGACATAAACGAGGTCGGACATATCTTTAATGATTTCAAACTAAAGCGTACCTAAAGCCTGCCCTGGATATGAAAAAGGGATTTGAGCCAGAAGAAGGTGAGGATCTATCACCAGATGAGGAAATGGAAACAACTAAGTATTAGTTAGGTTTAGGTTCAGGAAATGGAAATGGTAACAGCGGCCCAAAAATGGTAAGGTTTTCTTTTCAAAGAAAAAGGAACGCAAAAGTTTTGCGAAATCCTTATCTTTCGGCTTTTTAAAGAAGATAGGCCATTACAAAAACAAGGTATAACAGTCGACTTTCCTATCGGGATTTTACAACCTGAATACCAAGGGACCACTATTAGAAGAGAGCATAATAAGTAAATGCCGACGCCATCTTTGACTTTTTGGATGGTCGGCGGCGCCATAAACTCGATAACCAGCACCGCGGAGTCAAGAAATTCAACTAAATAGAATCCTAAAACAATCTTATTCGAGCAAACACGGGACCCACAGCAATGAAATTCACACAAGCGGCAATCATCCGAGCGGAGAATGGAGAAGGGAAATATACTTGAAATTGTTTTTTTCCGAATGAGAAAGCCTTTGGCAAACTCCTTGCAAATCACTCAGAACAAGGTTGACGAGGAGTGACCGATCACTTGAGGGAACGATCAGACTAAAGAGGTGCTGTCTATATGTATCACTATGTAACTTTTTACAGTTTGAGATTATTTTATATGTGTATTGCTATGTAATATTTTTACAGTATAAGATTATTTCTATGGCAAGTACTGGTCTCATGGACAGTAACCTGTAGTTTCATCGCCCATGGTTCTGGTCATACTACTGTACCTACAGTCACACCCATTCAACTTTTTCTATCTACAAAGAATACAACACCTTTTTCTATCTACAAAGAATGCACTACCTTGATTTATTTTTTCGTGTTTTTGGAAATGTCTTATAATTGTATGTTGCACTTTTTACGGCTTCCCGCTTTGCTAGAGTATGTTACATCTTCTTCTCTTTCATATCATTCATTTTCCACTAAAAAATGAATTGTTGCACTGTGTTAAACTAAAATTTACCGTTGCCAATTTAATTTATAGATAGATAGTTCTTTAAAAAAAACAAGGTGTAGGAACTTTAATTTAATTACCAACTGTGAATGTTCTGTGACATGGCTAAGCAGATTTTTTTTCCTTCTTTAGGGAAAACAAGGTATAGGAATCATCTTGTTTGTGTTTGGTGTTTGGCTGCGGCTGGAAGCATGTCACATGTGTTAGCATTGGACATAATTATTCCTACTTTTTTCATTCCTGATGTGTAGGTTGGCATGTTGTATTATAGCAGACTTGGATAGTATCACATCATTATTATTTTCATTGTTTAATTTTTATAAGTACTTTAATTTTATTTGTAGAGTATCATTGGACCTTCAATAGTTGGGAGATCAACCTGCATGGAAGATGTCATAACAAAGGAGTTGTCATTATTTGCAAATGCTTTATTGTCATTATTTGTGGATATGAACTATAGTTGTGAGGTGAATAATTGTCAGTCAACCTGCTGCAATAGTTTCTTCTTTGGGTTCCTGCATAACATTGTATGTCAAAACATCACCTGCAGGATCTTTCTCCAGAAAGGGCCTTTTGCAGATTTTGTCCTCGGCAATCTGGTGCCCCATCTGGTGATCATGAACTTCCTCGGATAAGCCACTCTCCTACAAGTTATCAAGATTTTGTAGTGTCCTGGTGTTTGAGACTATAATCATGTTAGATACTCATTTGGTATCCCACACTGTCATGTTATCCAAGAGTTTCTCTATGAACTACCAAGAATTTGGTAGACTTAGTGTTAACATGTAAGTACATGAGAACTTATTTTCTTTCACGGGAGTGAAGACTGGAAATATCACTTCAATATTATCATGTTCTTTACTGTCGAAGCTAATAAATTAGATTGCCCTGATGGACGTAATGCCTTCAAACTCTCAACTTGAAGCTCTGAATGTTAGCATCAGGAGCTGTCTACCGTGATGGACGGAATCACAAAAGATCGGGTGAAACATTATTTACTGAGGAGTCTAGTAACAATAAAAGATGTACAAGACATTTATCAAAGTGATTCCATATTGTTGACAGGTGCACATTGAGCAAAATCAAACATATGATTTCCAATTGATAAACCCCCTCGTCCAAGCCAAACTTTTTTTTCTCCATTTTCACCTTGCAGAAGACTTGTTACCCCTGCCCAATTTTCTCATGATTCTCCCATGTTGAGGGGACAAAGAGCATGACACAAATAGAAAATCCATCCACACAACAGTTTGTTCATACAGTGCAAATATCTCACAAGGGCTGAACTGAGCTCCAAGACAGCTTTTTCTTAAGCCTAACAGAGCTATTGATTTCATTGATACGAGTGAATACTGTACAAACACAGGGAAATCAGATAGAATAGCCGGGAACCACTAAGCTAGATTATTATCACAAAATGATGTGTGGTTCGTCGGCCTCCTTCCAACATTGGCTTGTCAACAGCAAGGCATGCAAGCATAGTAGCCGACAACTCCAAATTGTGAAAAATGCGGCAATTGTGTTCATGCAAAATCTCCCAAATCACCGTCACGGCCTGCAATCTCCAGTACATATCATCATGTACAGCCTTAGAACAACTATTGCAACAGAACTGCTGCTTTCCCTGAAATAACTGCAGAAAACAAAACAATATATGTTGTTACTTTTTATCCAATGATTCAACAATGCTCATTTCGTTCTAGTATATTAAGCAAACCAGACTTAAATGCGAAGATAAATGGCTGCAATTAGTATATCAGAATAACATACATACTATAGCCTGAGGAGTGAGGACACAATTATAAATGGTCCAGAAGAAAGAAACAAGAATGAATTAGAAGTGTTTGACTTAATACTTGGGCTCTCGCTTCCATCTTCTCACCTAAAAGGACATCAGACAAGCACCTGCAGTATATTTGGACAAAGGAAACAAAAACAAGGAACCTGGAGAGGGTCTGTAGTATATTTAGGTAAAGGAAACAAAAAACAAATGGACAACACTCCAAGTACATTTTGTACAGAGCAAAGAAACAAAAGGTAAAGTAAAAGATGATCTTTTTGCGAGTAATAAAGATGATTCTGAAACATATGTTGGATGTGGGGAACCATGCTTATAACATTTAGAGCGGAAGTATAGATATGCATACCTGTGACCAAGGCGTATATCTAGACCTTTTGCCTAAGTGTGGATTTCTCTCCAAAACGATTGCAATGGCCTTAGCTATATAAATATCTCCCTTGGTTTCTTTCCTTAATTTGCCCGTCTGTGCACATATAAATGTTACAGAAAATAGAAACCCAAGAGATATCAGCAAAAAAACACTACGAACTGAGAGAAGTAATTACCTTTTCCAGTATAGCGTCAAACACTTTCCCTATCTTTTGTACAAACTCTTGCCGAACTTGAGAACCATTAGTGTCATAAAGGTTCATAACTGAAAGACAATATAACATGTTAGTTGGAGCCTTATTTGGTTTCATTATATCTATGAACATACAGAACCTAGATAAAGTTGTACCTCTCAAGATCATGGTCAAAAGGCAGTCATCTCCACTTGTGTGCCATAGTGGAAGCCCAAGTCTATCAGGCCATGAAATCATGTGTGTCAAGCATACCTTAAGCATGACTCATACAGCTAGTTCCAATTACTTAGTTACAACCTTAGGCATCTATCAGGCCATGGAATCATGTGTGTCAAGCATAGTATACCCTTCTTTTAGTTGTTTGCTCAAAACATCTGTGCTAACAATGTTGGCCCTCGAGCTCAGGCTTCATCCATCTTCTCACCTAAAAGGACATCAGATAATCAGTACTTTGTACTATATGTAGAGAAAGAAAGAAACAAGGAGCCTATAGAGGGTATGTACTTTGTAGTATATTTAGGCAAAGGAAAAAACAATGAACAACACTTGTAGTACATTTTGTACAGGAGCAAAGAAACAAAATGTAAAAGATGTTTTTGAATCATATGTATATAGAAGGGGTGAGTGCACATGTGTGTACATATAAAAATATTAGTACTGGACTACTTGTAACTTTCTTACATCAACAGGTTTCTGCAAAGAAAAAAATGTCGATAACAGACAGAAAAGAAATAAATATTCAGGGTTTGGCCTGAAAATTGGATGTGGAGCTACCAAGCAAAGAAATGCGTTCATGACAAAGCAACCTGCTGTCGACGTTGTCCGATTTTTTTGAACAGATGGGGTAACAAAGGCAACTACTAAAAGAACAATCCAAACACACATATAACTTTTTTAGGTACGAAGACCTGATTTCCCCCAAGACAAATATAACAGAGTATGAGGTTAGCCAAAAACAGTGAAATATGAAGCCAGTTGCACTCCTTATAAATATCTAATCACAATTACCAATCTCTAAATGTCTCATACTCCTGGAGACTTCTAATTTCTGAGCTTATCAAGTATCTTCTGGACCTGCCATGTGGATCGTCATTTACAAAAATAAGTGATTTGGTAAGAACCAAAATCCAATTGTAATTGGAGCCAGTACTGAGTATTTATGTGCTTATATATTAAGTACAAATGCATATTTGGTCAGCTTAAGCAACTGCTTCAAGATTTCAATTGTAAGCAATATCTGGTATCTTTTCTACATAGCTACAAGATGGAACTAAATGTCTAACAATGCGCATTTGGTCAATAGTATCAATTAACCACTTCAAGATTTCAAGTGTAAGGAATACCTGGTATCTTTTCTACTCCCTCCGTTCCAAAATATAGCGCGCCCACGCTTTTCGAGGTTCAACTTTGACCATAAATTTAACCCACGAGACCGACTGCGGCGGGATCAAAAATTATATAATTAAAAACTTTTTTTGAATACGAATTCATTGGTATAATTTTTTCGCCCGCCGCAGTCGGTCTTGTTGATTAAATTAATGGTCAAAGTTGAAGCACGGAAACCGAGGACGCGCTATATTTTGGAACGGAGGGAGTACATAGTAGGAGGTGGAACTAAAAAGAAATCATTTAATTGTTCAATGATTTGTAATGTCCAATGCCTCCTTTCACATGGGAAAAAGGGATACCCAGAGCACATGAACCAATCCAGTCTACATTTACATGCAGATGTAATGCAGCACGTCAAAAAATAAGCACTAATTCAGAATGAAAATACAAACAAGTACTGAATGCATGTATAATATGGTACCACAAAGTGTGGCTATCTGCTGTCTAGCAATCTATGTGAATAGATTAATAAAGTCAAACAACTATAATTTATTGCGTACAAATGATACTAGCATAGTAGTGGGCTAGCATAGCAAATATAAGCACAGTAAATAATTCCTATAGTATTATAGGGAAAAGGTACCAGTGTTTGATCTTCTAATCAATCAGTTATTTGTGTCTAAGAGAATAGAACAAAAAAACCTTCCTCAATAGAAGAACTCACAACATAACAAACCAAACATTGCTTTAGAGTCAAGAAGTAGAACCATACAATGACTCGAAACTTCCCAGTTTTCATGTCAACGACACCAAATGAAAATGTCATCATTGTCCAATAGTAGAACATGATGAATCCGACATATTGCAATAATTAGTAATTTTTGGTATACTAAACAATTTAAACACAATCTGTAGCCTTCATGATATTCAGGTCTATCCCCTAGCAGTAACAATGGCATGTGTGTTCATATTTTCAACCAACTCTTGTGATTCATTTCTAAAATAGCTAATGTCGCAGGGAAATGATAACTTGTATAGTTCCATCCGCTAGCACCATCACATATATGCAGCTGCACAAGTAATAATATTCACCCATACCTTGGTCCTTGACGAAGGAGATCAGAAGGTGAAGTCCGTTCAATCTGAAGATTGTTGTGACCAGCGCGTGGCTTCTTGGGTGTATTTGAGGCAGCGTGAGTCACATATGCCTACCCATTTGCTTTATATTGGTCTGCAAGAGTAGTTTCTAGATAACTCAACATTGGCGGGCGAATTTGAACTCTGGGTCACAGAAAAATTGATATATGTATTGGGCTGCAAGAGTGGTTTCTAGAGAGTTCGGCCTGGGCACGCGGATTTAAAGTTGGGTGACAGAAAATTTAAATCTGGGAGGCGGCACGGGTGGGCAGGACGAGGATTGTGGAGGTGGGCCAGTAGCCAAGCATAGTAAGTCAGAGGGAAGGATAACGAGCAGCGGGTGGCGCCGCCGCCGCAGAGAGCAGCTCGTAGCCGGCGGCGTACTTGCAGCAGTCAGCATTGGAGGAGAAGGGGAAGGGGGCGGGTGGTGGCGGTAGCAGGAGGTGGTCGATGGGACCTCTGCAGCATATGAAGAGATAAAAGAGACGCCCGGGAACATACTGCGTCGGCGGCGGTCGGCATCGGTGCAGCCATGGGTCGGGGAGAGGGGATTGCGAGGAGGGAGAGGTGGGAGTGATGGTCGCCGGTGGTCTTGCTGTGGCACGCGAGGAGGCAGTAGATGCGTCGGCGTCCTGCTTGCCAAGATCGGCGTCCAATAAGACGGGGAAAGGGGCGGAGGAGATGACGGGGAGGATGTGGTCGGGGTGGCGGCGGGCAATGAGGCTGAGTGGAGGCATGGGGCTGGGGTCGGACGGCGCCGGCAGCGGCCATCTGACCGGATCGATTTCAACGCTGCCGGCGGTGGCGCCTCCTTTTCCCCCTTTCCTGGAGATTGGAGATGGTCGGACGGGTTAGAGCCTCGGGGGAGAGATGGAGTTGAGCTGTTGACCGGAGAGATGGGGATGACATGGCTTGTGTGTAAATGTTCACGGAGTAGGGGGTGTTTTTTGCAAAATTTGCCACACGTTGCTTCCTGTTCGTTGGGTGCAGATCCTGATCATCGACGAACCAAAGCAAAGCAGGCACACTATCATCACCAACTCGTAGAGATGTCATCTAATATAAAGTTAGTATAAAGTTGAATCATCTATTTTAAAATGGAGGGAGTAGTGTCTAGCCATTCTTTGTCTGTGCACAGCGTCCTCCTCTCGTTTGTGTGTGAGATTGTGCTTGCTAGTTGTCGACTCACCTAATGATGGCTCAATAATGTCATTTTAAGTACGGGAAGTATTGAATTAGCATGTGCATGTAGCCTCTGGGACAGACTGATGTAAGCATAACTAACAAGTAGTTTATGCTCCGAGTTCTGAAATATAGAAGCTAATTAGAAGTACTCCCTCCGTAAAGAAATATAAGAGCATTTAGATCACTAAATTAGTGATCTGAACAATAATGCCAGGCATCTTGCCAACCACATGTAGTACTACATTTTAAAACTGGAAACGCGGTGAATTAACTATTGCCTTGCATTAAATACATCATGCGATGTTGCAGTGAACAGCTCATACTCTTGTTGACCTCCAAATTGAAATTTAGATGTTCAACTTCGAGGCCAAAGCATCATTCCAGCACACCAGCTACCTGTGCGTCTAGCTCAGGCTCCAGATGATGCTCCTTTTCGCCCACTTTCTGACCTCATGCACATAGTAAAGCCCCAATCTATTCCACCTGTATCCCGTGGTGGAAGTGCTGAATCTCCGGATTCTGTACATAACAATTTTGAAGATGCGCCCAGTACTTGCGGTTCTTTTCGGGAGCGTGGTCAGACATCTAAGGCGGACTCTGGAAATTATGCAGCCAGTCCTACAAGAGGTGACCAGGAAGCACCGGTACAGTCACGTACTGGTTGGTTCCCCTCAATTGAAGCACAAAAGACTGAAGCAAACCCAGATATTCGTCAGCAGCGCATTCCTGAAACTGTGAGTCAGGATGCTGAAGGTTAGTTTCCTTTCTTTTCAGTTATATAGTACTACTGTATTTTTCGTCACATTCTCTTGCTCTATCTATGTCTGAATGCTCACATTTCTTTTCTGTACTTGCTACACAAGTGTTGTACACTGGGAGGCCTACCAGCGCATGGGTCAATCTCCACCAGATTTTGATAAGGACCGTGCAGATTTCCAATTGACATCACTGGATTCCCGTTCTGGGGTGGGACTGGAAGAAGCTAATTTGCCCAAGCAGGATGCCCCTAGAGAGAATGAACTCAGCCCTCTTGCTTTGCTTTGGTCTGAGCTGGAAGGGATGCATCCAAAGCAGCCTCTCTCATCAAATGTGCTTGGTGTAAATGAGCGGAGACAGCTCCCGAGGACATTCCACCTGCAAATATCAGGCATGGGCCACTTAGCCGGTTGAATGTGTTAAGAATAATGTAATTGCCAAAGTCGCGTGTTCTCTATTCCTCTGAAGAAGATATACATACAGCTACATGGGCTCAATGGACTTTCTTCTACTGTTCTACAGAAACAAGATATACACCTAAGTTATATTC